CCCGCGCAGCCTCGCACCTCTCCGGCCCCGCGCTGCTCGAGGAGGGACTCGTGACAGTGTTAGGGCAGCACCAGCCCCGGAGTCTCCCCATCTGGGAACCCCCCCAGCGCTATGGGGCCTGGGCAGGGAAAGGGATGGCTTTGGGGAGCTGCAGCGACATGAACCGTGGCCAGGGGCTGATGTGAGGGCAGCCACCTGCCTGCAGCAGCTCCTTGTCCCCAGGACGGTGGACAGGTCCCGGGATGCCAGTGCCATCGTGCAGCAGCAGGGATGGTCCAGAGCTTGGCCATCACCTCTTGCCCCTCTTGATGCCTGGTCTTATCGCCTGAGCCTTGTGGCTCCATGGTGAGCATGGACAGAGCTGGGCCTGCCTAGACCTTTCACACTCTCACTGTCCCTCTCCTCTTCCTCTTTCTGCAGAGAAAAGTTGTGGTGTGGAGGAGCATGTCTGAGCCTGAGACCCCAGAGCTCAGGGTGTACTGCTAGGGAGGGAAACGCAGCCCAAGCTGTTGGCTCCACCGGCTCCACAATGGAGCATACTCCATATTTTCTCTAAAGGACTTTCCCCTCGCACTGCCCTTCACAGTGGCACTTTTGGGGTCAGCTCTAGGCTTTTCCCCCTTACTTCCCTCCTAGCTCAGCACGGGGAGCTTCCCTGATCCCAATACTGCCATCACATCAGCCTCTGGATATACCTGATGCCAGCTCCTGTGTGTGGGCAGACACCGGTGGTGTGGGCACTCCTTGAACCCAGCTGGAGCAGGGTGAGGTGTGACCCCACTGCTGGCACCCCCTGACCCCAGATGGAGCAGGGCGAGGAGCAACTCTGCTGCTGACAGTGATCCCGACACTGCTCCCTGTTTATTAACCCGGATTACCGGGAGCTGCTGCTGTCTCGCACTGGAGATATGCCGAGGAGATAGGCTGGAGCAGCCTCCCCCGCGGCGGGATGGGGATGAGGCTCTGGGGGGAACTAGGGGCAAGCGCTTGAGTGCTGGTTATGAAACACTTGCTTTGGCTCCCAAGACGGCTGGCACCCAGGGACTGGCACCCCAAGCCTCGTATCTACTGCTGACACAGAGGGACTGGTGCTCGGGGTCTGGCATCCAGGAACTGGTACCAAGGGACTGGTACCCAGGGACTGACATGCAGGGACTGGCATTCAAGGACTGGTATCCACGGTGCCAGCAGCAGCCCCTGGCACTGCTGCATGTTGGGGGAAGTTGAACAGCTAACCCTCCTAATGATATTCTTATAAGGAAAAAAATATGGCCAAATGGATGAACTGGAATGAATGTCTCTTTCTGACGCCTGGCAGGACATCTATCAGGCTGCCCAACCTGGTTGTGTCAGGCTGCTCCGGGAGGGAGGGAAGCCCCAGGAAAATGAACGGATGGTGCTAAAAACCCTGTCAGTGGGGTTGTGTACCCTTTACTGAGCCCTGTGGCTGCAGGACCTGGGAGGCCTAATGTCCAGAGCTGGTGAGGCACCTTCCTGATTAGGGACTGAATTCGGTCGTGCCCAGGGGTGACCTGGACCCTGAGCTGTGCTGCCCGGAATGCTGGACCCCGTGTTGTGCAGGCAGACCTGCCTGCTGTTGCCTACTGCCAGCGGGCAGAGGAAATCTCTCTGCGGGACCCCGATGGCAGCCATCAGCCCTGCTCCTCCCGGACTCCTGCTGTGGCCCAGGGTTTCAGAAGCTCCTTGACCGGGCAGTAACTCCCCTTTCCTTTGATTTATTGTTCCCGAGCTGGACCCCCTCCTCCTGCCAACCTGCTCTTTCTCTCCATCCCCCCAGGAAGGCCTCCCAGCCCTGCCTCCCCCCTCCGCCTCCCTACCCCCCACCCCACCCCCCCCCCGGCCCTCAAACGCATTCCTGCTCCTTTCATATACAGACGGAGGGGAAGGGAGACGTTGACTTTGAACCGGCCCCTTTGTAGGAGCGAGGCCCATTGTGGCAGTGATGGTTTTAGCTGGGGGATGTGGAGGGAGTCAGTGGGGTTTCTCGGTGTGTGTCCCCCCCCTACATTTCAATAGGGTGATTTTGGGGGAGCTGTGTAAGCTGCCTGGTTATTGTGTGGGGTCATTGAGAACCAATGGCCAACTGTCTCCTCTGCCTGATCCAGAGGAGAATGCTGCAGCCTTCCATCACCCCATGGCTGAACCTGCTGGTGCTCCAGGCTTGGCCAGGCTCTGTGGTCTAAGGCGGCTAGGGATCAATGAGATCCTGTGAGGAAAAGGGGAATGGAAAGAAAGGCATCTGTTCTTCTGGCTCACTGAGATGGCAGCAAGCTGGGGGGAGGCAGAGATGCACCTCCCTTTGCTCCGTGTGCTGGTGTGGCACTGGTGTGACTTGGGAATGAGATTTTAAGAGAGTGGATGACCACAGATGATGTTTTATTCATGGTCAGCCCACCCTTTACTATGGCAGGTGATGGAGAAGCCCTGTGCCGGGTCCCCCTGAGTTGCCCACTGAAGGCAATCACACCTCAGAGGGCTGCAGCCCTGCACATGCTGGGTCAGGGTCCCATGATGAAGGGGTCACCCTAGGACCTTCTAGGGAAGGGTGGGCAGGGGGCTGAGCTCCAGAAGCCCCATTTCTGGAGGAACACTGACCTGCTCCCTGTCAGTGCAGCTTGCTGGGCTGCAGCTGGCCTGGGTGGGCAGGTTGGAGTCGGTTCTTTCAAACCTGTCTGAGGGGAAAATCCCAGAGCCTCTTTACAAAGACCCCGGGCTTTCATTACAGTCACACCCTCACCACCACACTGCCCAAACACACCAGTGGGTCCTCCCTGCTGTGTTACAGCTGGGAAAACCGAGGAGGGGCCTGAGCATGGACCCTGCACCCAGCCCCACGGTGTCCTGAGATGTCTGCAGCACAGGTGCCCCTGGCCCTGGACAGATGGTACTTCCATGCCGGCACATGTTGTGGGGACGCAGATTCCCAGGGGACACAGGGCTCCTGCAACTGCTGTGCCAGGAGCAAGGGGGTCTTCCCAGGAGGAACAGACAGGTTTTACTCCAAGCTAGAACTTCCCAAAAAGTCTGGATGTGCTCTGAGAGATTGGTGAGCTCTGAGAACAAAGGAAGGACAAATTTGGGGACCTCGGGAGAGGGGGTGGGAGGCTGTGTTTCCCCAGGATTGAGCCCTGGGGGGGTCTTGGGTTATTTGGGGTGCGCATCACCCACGGCTACAGCTGGAGAAGCATCCCGGCTGGGTGCTTTGGCTAGTGCTTTCGCGGTGAGTCAGCACCCACCTCCGGCTGCCGAAACCAGGAGAGATGGTATCAGCCTGATGGGGGGGCTGGCGTGATCAAAGGAGCTCGGCTGCACACAATGAGGGGACGCGATAGCCCTTATCTGCCATTCCCGAGGTGCGAAGGGCCCTGGGAGCG